AATAACGGTCGTGCATGCAAACAATCAGAATAATGGTATAGATTCTTATATAACAGTTGTTCTACTTGTACACATGCTCACTATTTAATAAGTTTAGATGTACAGGTATATAAATGTAAAGCTCGTGTTTCAAAACGGATGGCTTCAATTCAAGTATAATCTTATCTTGTACGTTTACAGTTATATAAGTCCCGCTACATTTTAGAACACAAACAAAACTGAATGACAGTAACCATTTTTGATTAAAAAAATGACTTTAAAACATATTATACAATATACGAAATGGACGGTGATAGTAACATATACATGTGTTTAAATAAGTCCTTCTCTTTAAATGTTACATCAAACACAGAAGATAACATAACTAAGGTTCTATAGGCGGATGATGCTACTACGGGCAATGTTAACATCGTTCGTAGGAGCATGGATTAATCATTAGTATTTTATGCCAAGGATACGTTTTACAATTATCCATCACCATATTTATAAAACTTCACTAATTTGTTAGTTCTAAGGTTTTCACTTCAATATTTAACTTACATGAATTTCTTTTTGATGTTTTTATAGCTGGATAGTGTTACTATCACATGTATCGTACTTATATAAGTAAAACAATCTGCTATTTTAATGTTATGAACTTTATTGTTTTCCCTTACATATGTGTTACAAAGGTGGATGGTCTTACTAAGCGGTCAGGATGACTAAGGTTCAAAAGGCGGATGGTCTTACTAGGTTTATTGTTTTCTTTTTTTTCTTTTCATCTTGGGTATATAGTTTTAATATATATATATATATATATACATATTTAACTTTATTCCCTGTGTTTTACAAAGGCGGATGGTGCTACTAAGGATCTATAGGCGGATGTTGTTTCTATAAGGGGATAGTCATGTAGGATTGCACACAGGTTTCAAGTCATTTCATCTTATGTTTATACCTTTCATTGATATGTTACACGTGTTGCTATAAGTGAATAAGTCACTAATGCGTTTAACTTACTGCTGAAAAGTTTTGATTTATAAATATTGAACGAGTCAGCCAATTATGTTTTTATGCTTTAGTAAACATTTAACGTATTACAATTGATTTGCATAAGATACTTTTTACAATTATCGTCCTAAAAAGGACGGTTATCTAAATATCATGCAGTAATTTAAAATACAGGGTTACAGTTTCACTTGTCTGCTTTATGGTTTAAATATATTATTCCTCTACCCATATATCTATGAATTTTATTGTTCTTGGCAATCTATTTCATTTCACACATGCTATCTTATAGTTTTCAATTACATATGGTTTACAAAGACTGACAGTGCTTCCATAGGTGGTCGATGATATTATCACAAGGTCTAACTAAAGATAGTGTTACTTTAGGCGTATAATAGTGCTAAGGATAGTGTTTCTATAGTTTTATTTCGCTTTTACAGGCAAAACCCTTATTTCAAAGAGACAACTATTATAACACTGTTACATATGTCATTTTTATCATACATATTATTCATTATTTGAACAAGGCAACTATTATATAGAATAATTTACCTTACACACTTTTACAGTTATCATCCCGAAATGGACCATTGATTAAATATCAGGTTTAGCTTTAAGTTGATTGCTAAAGCTTAAAGGATCCATGTAAATAGCTATGTCTATTCATTAGTAGAAAACTATATTATATATGATTATATAGCACTCTACGTAAGTAATAGTCTTACCATTTTTTCAGCTATGTTTTTGCCCTTGAACGAATTCTAGATAATTAATGACCAGTGTCGCAAACGGTGTGGGCTATTTCGACATATTACTGAAACATACCAGTTTGAGGCAAGATTAGACAGCTTTGACCTTTTGTTCGAGTAAGGCTAAAGTAAGGCTAAATGCGTTTGTTTCTACAAAGTTGACAGACAAACCAGAAATCACTTTGTATACACTATATCATTTAAAGCATGAAACATAGTTTTCACAAATGAGCATAACAAGAAACAAAAACAAAAAAAAACTGTTGACAGTCATAATCATAAAAGGGCCTTTAGTTATAAATCAAGTGATTTTTCTTCGACTATTATAAAACAGATCTTGACGCTCACATAACTTCTTCCCAACAGCGTAAAACTGACCGGTTTCGCTCTCAAAAAAAACATAATATGATATCATTACAGCCTCAGAGGGAAGTCACCAAGTGAGTGGAGATCAAAGAAGCCGCCTGAACGATACACATAATATTCCACCACCTGAGATTATGCAACTCTTACATAATAGACAATGGATGCCAGCATCTGGGAGTTACATAACTATTACGTGATATATACACATGAGGGTGATGAATTCTACGAACTAGTGGGCGTGTTGCTAGGACGCCATGACAGGCAGAAGTTTATGTCACCATGACAACGGAAGTGGCACCAGACAACGGGTTTGTATGATGTAGTTCAACGTGACATTAACTTTATAGTAATAATCAGAGTTTTAAAATTAATAATTTAATCTAATTTCATAATGTTGTGTTTTCAGTTTCAGTAAAGCAATCTATATCTTCGGGTCGCGGGTTCG